TATCTATCTATCTATCTATCTATCTATCTATCTATCTATCTATCTATAGTTAGTTGTAATGATCCCACACAGGTTCATTTTTACACCACTTTTGATCCTCAGATATTCAAACCTGACTGTAAAACTAGTATCAGACATTGACCCTTTAAGGCTTCTTTATATGGAAATGTTACGGTTTCATAACGAAGGGAAGAATCCCTCCATTTATGATCAAATCTGGGCCACGTTCTGCTTTCCGTTGATGTTTTCAGTCGTTTTATCGACATGAAAAGTCAGAGGAAGTCAGGAATAATGAGGAAAACGTGTAATGAACTCTTAAAATTGTGTTTTTTTGCCACTATGGCCGCCCGTATGCATTTATTTTGTTGTTTCCGTTTTTATTGTTACATGCTTTTATTTTGCTCCCAAGCCGGAAGTTGGTCTGACTGAAAAACGGTTGACTTTACAGGGGTCTGTAAAGGATAGAGCAAATATTTCCCGACTTTAAAGATTTAATGGTACATTTATTAATCACCAGGCTAAAAGTGGAAAAAAAGTATGTTACAAAAATATGTTTTATGTGGAGTTATGTGTGTTTTGACGATTTTAAATGATTGTTTGTTGTCTATGCTAATGTTTGAATGACCGTTAATTCAGACTTTAGCATCTTTTGGATAATTTTATGGATAAAACTTGTCTGTTTACAGCTTTAGTGGTGTTTCATGAAGGATTCCTGAGCAGAAACAAACGTCTGTACCAGAATAAATCTAAATCTTTGGAACATCAGTGTTGTTTTGGCTACCACACCTCTTTAACCAGGTGTTTATTTGGGTTGTAAATGATGCTAAAACCTCTTCCTGTGTCCACAGACGGCGCCCTGCCCTCCGCCCATCAGGGAGAGTCCGGCTGCAGGAACCCCCACCAGGAACCCCCCCGACCGAAACCTGCCTCCGTCCACTCACTCACTCTCTCCTTTTTCTGTTTATTTTTATTTATTTTCGCAACTCTGTGCCTTCAACCAAAATTCTCTGGTGATTCTTGTGCAGCGTCTCTTCTTTTGGGTTTTCTTTTGGCTTTTCTTTGGCTTTTCTTGGCTTTTCTTTTGGGTTTTCTTTTGGGTTTCTTTGGGTTTTCTTTGGGTTTTCTTTGGAGTTTTCATTTGGGTTTTCTTTAGGTTTTCTTTTGGCTTTTCTTTGGATTTTCTTTGGCTTCTTTTGGTTTTCTTTTGGCTTTTCTTTGGCTTATCTTTTGGCTTTTCTTTGGGTTTTCTTGGTTTTTCTCTGGGTTTTCTTTGGCTTTTAATCTGGGTTTTCTTTTGGGTTTTCTTTTGGTTTTCTTTTGGCTTTTCTTTGGCTTATCTTTTGGGTTTTGTTTGGGTTTTCTTATAGGTTTTCTTTGGCTTTTCTTTTGGATTTTCTTATAGGTTTTCTTTGGCTTTTCTCTAGTTTTTCTTTGGCTTTTCTTTTGGCTTATCTTTTGGCTTATCTTTGGCTTTTCTTTGGGTTTTCTTTGGCTTATCTTTGGGTTTTCTTTTGGGTTTTCTTTTGGGTTTTCTTTGGGTTATCTTTTGGTTTTCTTGGGTTTTCTTTGGGTTTTCTTTGGGTTTTCTTTGGCTTTTCTTTGGGGTTTTCTTTTGGGTTTTCTTATAGGTTTTATTTGGCTTTTCTTTGGGGGATCTGCCTGATGCAGGAGGGCCTGGGACTGAGCTGCTGTCTCTCTGGGAAAAAAAAGAAAAGAGAAATAATCAAACCTACCCAGGACATGCAACATCCAATCATTTTAATGTCCCAATGTCTTTTTTATCTTAAAATGGTGTCAGTGATTGCTTCTTACTGGAAGAAATCCCTCGCTGTGCAATATCAATGGCTCTTTCTGTGACCTCGTCATGTGGATGTAGAGTTTGGACAAACATTTTGGTTTATTTTTGTAACGATGTTTTCCTGATTTCTATTTTTCTAAAGCAGAGTGAGACAGATGAGAACAAAGACAGACTCTTTAGTGAACTGGTGGGGACGGGTGTGTGCAGATCCAGGGTTCCTCTGATAGGCCCTTCTCCTGCCAGGGCCAAAGCCATAGCCTATCAGAGCACTGGGAGCACTGGGAACACTGGCACACTCAGTCCTGGGATCCATGTTTTCTGTGTGTTCGGGGCTTGAATCCCCAGTATTTAGTGTTCTCTACCTTTGTGAGGCCGTGTGTTCATGGGTAAGTTTTGTACCTCCTCCTACATATCAATAAAGAGCCCATAAGTTGCATGAACCGCTGTGAGAAAAGAACGAGTGCGACGATTTCAAACACTGTCGATTCTCAAATAGCTTTTTAAACAAAGAAAAGGATCAAATCCATGTGATGTTTATAGTTTTAAGCCATCAGGATTCATTTATTTAAACATTTTCTTTCTAATAGTCCTTAAATGGATCAATTTCTTGATTTGATTAATAATTTTGCTTCATTATATGTAATTATTTATAAATAAATCATTAATGAAAGGTTGTCATCCACCATCATTTTCATTATTTGTTTTTAAGTAAAAAATAACTTAAGGATATTAGATGGATGATTATTCCAGGGTTTGATATCTTGGTCAAAACAGCAGCTTTCTGAACAACACGCTTGTTCTCCAGATAAAACATATCCATTAAACAACACCCAGCATTCACATTTTGGACTAACTGTGGCCACTTTTTGTGTTTGTGGGTCTATTCTTACTTTAGTGTTTGAATTAGACCCATATTAGACCCAAATGTGGCTTTATTTGATGCGTTTGGGAGTTTTTCCAAGTTGCAAACTATTTTTTTAAAAGACAAACACATGTCAGACCAGGAATTTCTCTGTAAAAAAACACTAAATACACAATAAAAATAGAGCCAGTGCAGTTATTTGTTAGGTAATCAAACAGGAATCAAAGTCTAAATCCATCTGGAAGTTGTTTAAAGAAGTTTTAGATCAAATCAGGAAATTGAAATGAGGCTGAATTCTGAATTTGGAGAAATTCCTACAGACACTGTTTGAGAATTTGCAGGGATTTTGTTTTATAGTTTGAATCCTCTTTTCTCCAGTTGTGAACTGTGTTGTGCCTCCCTACAGATGCTCTTCCTGTTCTGTGTAGATCAGTGTTTAGTCCTCCATTAGCTTTCCGTTGACCTCACAGCCCTGAGTGCTGAGTTTGAGTTGGTTTGTTCCTCTCAGGAAGTCAAACGTGGTCATCTAAGGCCACCTTTGAATTTTGTTTTGTAAAGCAGATTCAGAGATTCACGTTCTTCTTTATGAGTAATTTTTAATTTAGGTTTAAAATGATGCATTTCAGTGTAATGTTTTACAGACATGACAGTTGGATTATTTTGACTCCTTATTGTAAAGCGTGTGGTTTTCCTAAACCTAGACATTGGGTTTATATGCCTAAAAAATTTGAAAAAAATCAGGTTTTCAGAATGGTGATGATCTGGATTTTTTTTAACTTTTCTGTAATGATGAAAATAATGTTTTAAACCTTGTAACCATGCCAATAAGATGCATTTCAATGTACTTATCCAGGCATTAGACATTAGCTAAATCAGTTAATAGCACCACCTTTCTGTCTAAAAAAAGCTGGAATATTTCATCTAGAAAACTCCAGGAGCCTCTAATCATTGCAGCTAATTTCCGTTTGGGGATGTCCACTAAGATTGGTGGAAAATAAACCTTCTCTTCCTTGTTGGACATTATTTGTACAGATGTTTTTTCAGTCCGAGTGTATTAAATAAGTAAGATAATTCTTTAAGAAGTATCTGTCTTTAATAACAGGAGAACTGTTTTGTTCCATCGAATATCTTTCTGTTTACTGTGAATTTCCAAATTTCTAGATGCCTATTAAATGCCTTAGGATAAAATATCGAACTGTTGTTAAATGTCGGAGCGATACTTTGAATTGTTGATCTCATTAATCTCCATTTCTGAGTAAAATAAACCATTTCAGATGGTTATAATCTGCTTTACTGAACATCAGACTTTTAAAACAAACATTTATTTTTCTTCTGTTCTTCTTCTTCTTCTTCTTCTTTTTCTTCTTCTTCTATTATCATTATTATTACTTTATCACGTGAACAATCCTTGGAGGCACAAACTGAGGCTCACCTGCACAATGTTCCTTCTTAATGCATGAAATAAGTATCAGAGCACAACCTGACACTCATATCCATCCGGTGGTGTTGTGTTCGGTTTCCCTCTCTGTGTGAAGTGGGCAGACTTCACTTCCTGTGAGTGTGAGTCACCTGTGAATCTGCCTCCGTCCATCAGGTCCCTTTATCGACCACGTTCCCCCAAAATGACGCTGCCAAACTGGTCTTAAGAAGCCAAACTTTTCTGTGTACAAGTGGTTTATGTGTATCACATGTTAAACCTCATCCCGTTAATGTTACATTGTGTTTTTAACTAAGAGAAACCTGTTTGTTAAATTGTTGATGATATATGCAGAAGAATTATGAAATAAACTGAAATAAACTCAAACATGGTTGGTGACTGTTCACTGGACTGTGCTTCCTTTTATCGCCACAAGGTGGAGCCACATATCAGCTTTAGGAAGCTTTGTAAAGCCATCCAATGGTTTTCCTTTAATTTATTTAGTGTAGATTATTATTCTAGTCATTTGTGGCCATACATTTGTGGTTGTTTTATTCTTTGTAGTTTGACACATCAGCTTCGAGTTCTATCTATCTATCTATCTATCTATCTATCTATCTATCTATCTATCT